TTATGGCTGGAGTCATTTATTTGTGAATGCCTTGGACAAAATATAACAGGCAGGTTTTCCCTTACTAAAAATTTAATCCTGGAGCTATCTTGGGATTTTAGTCATGTTTATATAGTGCTATAGGGGTGCAGGGTCTAGCCATGTTGGTCTAAGGACATAGGCAGACAAGGGTCTTTGGGTGAATCTGGTATCTTTCATTAGACCAACTTAAATAGTTGGAAAATTTTTTTTCCAACTATTTAAGTTGGTTTAATAAAAGATACTAGATTCACCCAAAGATCCTTGTCTGCCTATATAGTGCTATTTTGATTCTTAGAATAGAGCTGCAAAGTATCATCATTTTAACTAATATAAATACCAACAAACTAATAATTAATATGATTCTTAGGTATTCATGGTATTTCTAGAATCTCTTAAGAAATGTAGTAATATATATTATTATAGTATGTATATTACTAAGCTTCTCAAGAGATTCTAGGAATACCATATACGCCTAAGAATCATATTAATTATTGGTTTGTTGATATTTATATGTGTTAAAATGATGATACTGGAATATATATTAAACAATGTTCACAGCATAAAGAAAGAGCTTTTGTTGTTGGACTGCATGATGCAGCTTGCACACCACACCAAATACTTACAAGATTTCTGGGCATGAGAAGTAACGGGGAAGGTAGCGGATGTCTCAGTTCCATACTGCAATCCTATAAGTAAGAGGAAAAAACATTTAAGTAGACATTTCTCCAACACTTGGTAGGATTTTCCAAGGTTTTCTAGGTATCCTACGTAGACATTTAAATGATCACCATAACCAGTTGTCTAGCCAATTCACTAGCTAATGCAGGATACAGTGGTATTCACCTTTGGATATAATTTTTGGACTATAATGTATTGCTACTCAGCTGTGAAAGGGCATCTGAAAATACCTGAAGTCCAGAAACAGTCAGATTTAAATTAAAGGCTGAGTTTTGTTATTACAGTGTTATTTACAAAAGTCTTACAGAATTGCAATCTATAAATACATAATTTCCAATAGTTCTTCATTTTAGGGGCCCACTGACAAAAACCTGAGAAATCAGCATATTACCTGACAGCTCTTATAGTAAGGCCAGA